CCACACCAAGCTCCAGGAGGGGAGAGACTGATTAGATCCCCCACCAACCTCCAGGAGGAGAGAGAGGCTGGAGATAGAGTTAATCACCAATGGCCAATGATTTATTCAATCACACATGTGTAATGTAACCTCCATAAAGACCCCATACCACAGGGTTTGGAGAGCTCTGGGTTGGGGAGCACATCTGGGAGGGTGGCAAGCCTGGAGAGGGCATGGAAGCTCCACCCCCCCATCCCCAATACCTTGCCCTATACGTCTCTTCCATTTGACTGTCCTGAGTTGTATTCTGCATAATGAACCTGTAACAGTAAGTAATCTGTTTTCCTGAGTTCTGTGAACTATTCTAGCAAATTATTAAACATGGGAGAGGGTTGTGGGAACCCCTGATTTATACAAAGTTGGACAGAAGTGTGGGTAACTGGGGACTCAATACTTGCAACTGGTGTCTGAAGTGAAGGCAGCCTTGTGGGACTGAACCCTTAAATCTGTGCAGTCTGATGCTCATTCCAGGTAGTGTCAGAATTGAAATGAATTGTAGGATACCCAGTTGGTGTCTAGAGTTGAAGAACTGGTTGGTGTGAGGAAAAGTTCCACACATTTGGTGTCAGAAGTATCATGAGTAAAAACAGTTCAACTACCAATGAACACTATGAAAGTGAAATTAAGAAAATGATTCCATATAATACCATCAAAAAGAATAAAATACTATGGAATAAGTTTAACAAAAGCAGATCTGCACACTGAAAACTACAAAACATCACTGAGAGAAATTTTAAAAGATAGAAGTAAATGGAAAGGCATCACAAACTGGAAAACTAAAAATTGTTAAGATGGCAATACTCCCCCAAACTAATCTGCAGATTCAACATAATCCTTATCAAAATCCCTGCTCCCTTTTCTGCAGAAATTGACAAGCTGATCCTAAAATTCATATGGAAATTCAAAAGGCCTTGAATAGCCAAAACACTCTTGAACAAAGTTGGATGGCACACTTCCCAATTTCAAAACTTACTACAAAACTAAAGTAATCAAGATTGTACAGTACTAGCATTGGATAGACAGACATAAAATAAAGTTTAGAGTCCAAAAATAAACCCATACACTTATAGACATCTGATTTCTAATAATGATGCCAAGACAATTCAGTGGGGAAAGAAGTCTCAACAAATGGTGCTGGGACAACTGGATATACAAATGCAAAAAAAAGGAAATTGGACCCTTACCTCACAACACATGCAAAATTAACTCAAAGTAGATTAAAGACCTAATTTAAGAACTAAAACCATAAAACTCTTAGAAGAAAACATAGGTGTACATTTTCATGACCTTGGATTAGGCTATGCTTTTTTGGACATGCCACCAAAAGCACAAGCAACCAAAGAAAAAATAGATAAACTAAACTTCAAAGTTAAAAACATTAGTGCATCAAAGAGCACTATCAAGAAAACAAAAAGATAATCCACAGAATGGGACAAAACATTTGCAAATCATACATCTGATAAGGTTATAATAGCTAGAGTACTATAAGTTGTAAGAACTCTTACAACTCAACAACAAAAAGACAACCAAACTTTAAAATGGAAAAAGATCTAAATAGACACTTCTCTAAAGAAGATATACAGATGTCCAATAAGCATACGAAAAGATGTTCAACATCATTAGTCTCTAGAGAAATGCAAATCAAAACCACAATGAAATACCACTTTATACCTAATAGGATGGCTAGAATCAAAAAGACAAGTGGGCTGGCCAGTTAGCTCAGTCGGTGAACAAGGTATTATAATATCAGGTCAAGGATTCAGATCCCCATACCAGTCAGCTGCCCCCCCCCCCCAAAAAAAAAAAAAAGTGTTGGTGAGGAAGTAAAGAAATTGGAACCCTCATACACTGCTGATGGAAACTGAAAATGCTGCAGCACTGTGGAAAACAATTTGGGAGTTCCTTAAAAGGTCAAACAGAGTAACCATATGACCCAGCAATTCTGCTCTTAGGTATATACCCAACAGAGTGAAAACATACATCCACATATAAACTTATAAGCAAATGTTTATAGCAGCATTATTCTATAATAGGCAAAAGTGGAAAAAACCCAAATGTCCATTGTGAACTATGCATAAAACAAATGTACTTCACAGGGACTGGTTTTCCAAAGCCTCTGTTGTAAGATAAAAAATTGTAATACAGCAAGGTTGCTGGCTCAAAGACAGGTTACTGATTGATGTGTAAAGATACTGGGAAATTGCTGCAAGAAAAGAATGTTTGCTAAAATCAAACTTTTGTTAGTGGATCGAATTAATTGCATTATAGAATATCACCTTGCCTTTCTTACCAGCTTCTATTGTTAAAATTGTTAAACTGTACTTAGCAAAAACCCCACCTATGTTCTCTTCCTGTAACTTCCTGGTCTGGAGAATAAATGCGGGAAGAGAACCCCAATTCATGGTTAATTTCCCAAATGGGAGGAATGCCTCGCTCTTGAGGGTTCTGGGAGATTAACCCCTTTTCGGGGCTTCTCACTGCTCAGAAGAGATGGGCTTTGAGTAATCTTTGGTGGCTCCGTCACCCAAGGGAAAAGGGGTGACAAATCCACGGGAGGCAAAGCAACAGTCCATCAACTGATGAATGCATAAACTGAAAGTGGTATGCCATACGATGTAATACTATTTGGCAATAAAAAGAATGAAGTACTGGTACATGCTACAATACAGGTGAACCTTGAAAACATTATGCTAAGTGAAAGAAGCCAGATACAAGAGGTCATCATTGTATGATTCCATTTGTATGAAATTTCCAGAGTAAGCAAATCGATAGAGACAGAAAGTAGATCAGTAGTTGCCAGAGGCTGGGATGAGAGGAGAATAGGGAGTAACTGCTAATGGGTACAGGGTTTCTTTTTGGGGCAATGAAAATGTTCTAGGATTATACAGTGGTGATGGTTGTATAACTTTGTAGATATAATAAAACTAATGAATTGTACACTTCAAAAGGTTAATTTTATAGTAGGTAAATTGTATCAATTTAAATTTTCTTTAAAACACTCATTAAGATGGCTATTACGGTTAAAAAAAAAAAAACAGGAAGTACAAGTGTCAGCACAGATGTGAAGAAACTGGAACCCCTGTGCACTGATGGGAATGTAAAACGGTGCAGCCACTGTGGAAAACAGTGCTTGCAGTTTCTCAACGAATTGAAAATAGAATAACCATATGATCCAGCAATTCCACTTCTGGGCATATACCCAAAAGAATTGAAAATAAGAACTTGAGATATTTGTACACCCATGTTCATAGCAGCATTATTCACAATAGCTAAATGAATGGATGAGCAAAATACGGTATATACATACAATGGAATATTATTTAACTTTTAAAAGGAAGGAAATTCTGATATATTTCCTTCCTAGAGGAATGAACCCTGAAGACATTATGCTAAGTGAAATAAGCCAGTCACAAAAGGACAAACACAGTCTGATTCCACTTATATGAGGTGCCTGGAGTAGTCAACTTCATAGAGACTGAAAGTAGAATGGGGGTTGCCAGGGGCCAGGAGAAGGCAGATGGGGAGTTACTAACTGTTCAATGTGTACAGTTTCAGTTTGGGAAGATGAAAAAGTTCTGGAAACAGATGGTGGTGATGACTGCACAACAAAGAGTACTTAATGCCACTCGACTGTATACTTAAAAATGGCTAACACGGTAAGATTTGTTATGTACATTTTACTTCAAAAACAAACAGAAAAAACAGAGTCTGATGTTCAGGATCATGATCTCAGATTGGATCCTGCACCAGAAAAAATTTCTATGAAAGACATTATTACTGTGATAACCGGCACAACGTGAACATAGGTGGTAAATTGATTCTGCTGGTGAAATTTTATTGAAGTCTGTACACTGGTAGATAATTAAATCAATGTTAAAATTTTCCTGATTTTGATCATTGTGCTATAGATATGTCACAAAGAAATTCCTTTTTAGGAAATACTGAATTATTTAGGGATAAAGGGCATGACGTATGCAAGCTGCTCTCAAATAGTGGGGGGCTAATAAACACAAAGGACATGCAGAGAAAGAAGAGAATATAACAAAGCCAAAAGGTAATGGAAGAATCTAGATGAAGGTATGCAGGAGCTCTTTGTACAATTTCTGTAACTTTACTGTAAGTCTGAAATTGTTTCAAAATAAAAAGTTTTCAAAAATTAATGTTCAAAACAGAACATCTGATCTCTCCCAAAACCTGCTCCACCCACAGCCACCCATCTTAGAACATGCCAGCTCTGTCCCTCGGACTCTTCCCGCACCGCACCGGTTCCAGGCCATCCTCAACTTCGAAACAATTCCGGAAGCCCACGCCTCCCAGCACCTCCACTGCTATCCCGCTGGCTGGATCATCTTTCTGAACAGCTTCTGCTCTCCCTGCTTCCACCCCTTGGCCCCTTGGGTGTATTCCCAACACAGCACCCAGAAGGAGCCAGTTAAAACCTAAGCCAGATGTTGTCACCCCTCTGCTCAGAACTCTCCAGCGTCTTGGACTACAAGGAGCCACTGGAGAGGTCCCCACTGTTGGCTCCCCACCGCGTTTCCCCAGCACCCAGCCCTGCGCCCAACGGGACAAGTAACCGGGTGTCGGAAAGTTCTCCCGGGAAGTCCCGTGTCGGCCCCTGGCGTGAGGACGGCGGGTCCTCTGGGACTAGGAGACGGGCGCGGGCAGCAGTCAGGGGAAGGCGGGAGTGGGCCTGAGAGCTGGAGGCCCCGGGGGCCCAGAGAGACCCCCTCCCTCTGCCTCTTCGCCCCAGCCCCTCCCCTCCGACGACAGGGAGGCCCCCATTGTCAGAGCCCGGAGTTGGGAACCAGCCATGAAGGGGGCTCACCCAGGAGCGCGCCCGCCTCCCAGCCGGTGGGTGGAGGCCAAATAAGGCCGGGCAGCCCCGCGGCCCGCCCCGCCCTGCGGCCGGCCGCACATTCTTCTGCCTTGTAAGGCCCGGCTGCCCCGGCGCCGCCCCCGCCACCCCAGCCCAGACCCGAAGGCCCGGCCCGGCCCGTGGCTCCACGCACCCAGCGAGCGCCTTCTCCGCACCAGGTGGGAGCCCGTCCGGGGCCGGGGCCGGGGCCGGGGCGTCTAGAGTGGGAGGGCTGCCTCCATGGGGGCTGGGGCACGCCCCAGGGGCCGGGATGTCGGAGGTCTGCAGGGCGACGGGCAGTGGCGTGGCCTGGGGCTGGCAGCAGCGAAACTGTTCCGGGCTCTGGGAACCAGGGGCCGTTTGGGGAGGGAAGGGGACTGTCCAGGCTCTGCCTGCTTTGCTAAAGAGGCTGGAGAGGCCAAGCCCAGAGCTCCGGGCTGCCTCAGAGGGGGTGCGCTTGCCATGTGTGTCACTGAGGAGGGAACTGAGCCCTGTCAGGCTCCATGCCCCTCCAGAGCATCCGTCCCCTGCCCCACCCCACACCCTTGGTCAGGAGAGCAGGATGGAGACCAGGGGAGGTCCCCCCCCCACACACACACCCCAGGTGCTGTGCGCCATGGACCCAGGCTTCCCCTCTCTGGTCCATCTGCCTATCTGTGCCTGTGGGTGGTGAAGTGCTGCTATGGCCCTGCGGACTCACTCCTAGGGGGCCGACAAGGACGCAGGGTGGGGAGAGTTGGTCCCTGCTCCTTCCCAGCCCTCCACATGCTCTGGCTGCTCTCAGGGAAGTTGTGTAGCTCAGCCTCAGGTGAGGTAAGCTCACGGGCATGTGGCATTACCCAGCCATACAGGCTATGGTGCAATGGGGTGAGCCTAGGTCTCTGCTGTCATGGTGGGACTTCAGACACCAGTTAGGGGGAGGTGGCATCTAGTCAGCGACAGGCCAAGTACCAGCTATGTCTGATCCCAGGTGTCTAGGACACCCAGGAGGGGAAGGTGATGGCTCCATGGGTATAGGCCCAGCTCATCCCTGACCCCAGCCCCTCAACCAAGCCTAGAAACCGCTTGTGGTCACACAGAGCCCTTAGCCCCTCACTGCCATGGGCCCAGTGAGCCTCTAACGATAGGTGTTTCCATTGCTCACGCCTGGAGGGAAGCAAGGGCCAAACTGGCCACCACCAACCCAAACCTAGCCATGGTCCTGGCTTCCAGGTGGCCTCTACCCCTCTCAAGGGCACACCACTTCCCTTCTTGGGCCTGTTTTTCTAACTGCACAGTGGCAGGCATCCACCCCAACCCTGCTTCCCAAGACTGCTAGGATGGACATGGCGGCCTCATGCAAACCCTCAAGTTCAGTGCTCTCAGCCATGTCATGGCTCCACAACAGAAGAGGGTGAGGCTAGGCTGGCCATGAAGGCAGAGGGGCCCACCCAGTCTCAGAAAGCAGTGGTGAGCCTGCCCATGCTTGCCCTAGAGCTTTGCAGACAGGAGGGTGGCAGTGACAGTGATGACCATCACAGCCTCTGCTGGGCACAGTGGACTTCCCATCTGTGGATGACCTGTGGGTGTCATGAGCCAAAGTTTCTAGAGAATACTGGGCTCAGGGAAGGATCAGGCCCCTCCAAACCGCAAGAGAGGAGGGGTCAGCTTCTAGGGACAATGGCGCTCCCTGCCCTCAGCAGCTTCTTACTCCCACCCTAAACCATGTGAGAAACACCGAGGGCCAGGTGTGTCGGTCCTGGGATGCAGGCAGCCATTGTCTCATGGCTACAGGCGGCGTGGCCCTGGGGATGGGCTGGGGCTGGCCAGGATCCCAGCTCAGGGTTTAGGATCTCAAAGGCCAAGGACCAAGAATGACTTGAACAGGGTCATAGGATGAAGGCTCGGAAACAAGTCAAGGAGCACTCCCAATCACACAATTTGGGGTGAAAAACAGGCAGCACAGGCAGAGAAGGCTTCTCTGAGGCCTGGACCAAGGGGCTCAGGGCAGAGAAAAGAGGGTACAGCAACCCTGGGACCTCAGCCAGACCCCCCACTGCCCCAGCTGAGGGGAAGAAGGTACTAGGTCTTCAGGTACATAGTCCCCACAAGCAATGACAGGCTTCAGGGAGAGTCCCTTGCCTGGCCTCAGTTTCCCCATGTGTACAGTTGCCCTGGCACGAGCATCTGTTAGCCTCACCATAGACTGCAGTTGGTACAAATCTGGGATTCATGCCGGCCTTGAACACAAGGGAGAGAGAGATCTTTAAGTGTTAATTGTCAAAGCAAGGGTGGGGGAACAGTTCCCCGAGAGGGTGTTTTAAAAACTGGGCTGGAGAAGGAAGAACACCGTAGGAGGAGGGACCAAGTCTGGGAGTGTCCAGGGAACAGCTTGGCAGGATGGCAGGATGGCAGATCGCAGGGGGGTGCTATGGTCAATCAGAGACAGAGGGCCAGGAGGGTTCACACAGGGCCTTGAATGCCAGGCTGCAGGGCCAGACTTACTCTGGGACGCAGCAGGAACCTCCAAGGGCTTCCAAGTGTCAGGTGCAGGTCTGGGTCTATGGGATGGGAGAGAATGGCTGAAGACTAAGAGGCCAGATCTAAACAGGGTGACAAGGAGCTGGGTTTCTCAGCCTGAGTGAGCCTTATGCCCCCATAAGCACTGGGGAGTGAGAACGAGAAGCAGGGCCCAGGATCGGTCTATCACCCACGTCAAGGTTAGTCAAGCTCCCTGAAGTGGGCGGGTGGCGGGTAGCCAGCCACAGACTCCCAGAACCTTGAGAGAGCAGAGTGGGCAGGGCCGAGGGCTGGGGGTGGAGGGCAGAGGACAAAGAATGTCAGGAACGTGGGGCTGCTGATCCAGCCCCTTCCTGCAGGGCCCAGGAGCCTGGATGGCAGTCCTCACTGCCTCCCACATGTCAACATACCTTGTCACTTGGAGAGAGAGAGAGATGGACAGTGTAAATACTATTAAGGATTAAAGGAGATAAAGCATGTTAATGGTTGGCACCAAGCCCAATCCTAAGTCTTTTACCCAAACAGGCACAGCAAAAATAGCTTATTCTGTGCCTGGTGCCATTCCAGGGGCTTTTCAGGCACTAAGACAGTTAATCCCTACTGCTGGGCACTCCTCATGTTCCCTGGGCTTGAAAGGTACAGGAGGGTGTTCAAGAGCACAAAAAGAGGGCCGGCCCGTGGCTCACTCGGGAGAGTGTGGTGCTGATAACACCAAGGCCACAGGTTCGGATCCTATATAGGGATGGCTGGTTCGCTCACTGGCTGAGCGTGGTGCTGACAACACCAAGTCAAGGGTTAAGATCCCCTTACCGGTCATCTTTAAAAAAAAAAAAAAAATGAGCACAGAGAGCCCACACTTGCCTGCTTTTGTAAAGAACTCAGTAACCAGAGCCCCCAGACTGGGGGAGCCCTTGAATGCCAGGCCCAGGAACTGAAAGCCAGTCTGGGGAAGGCAGGAAGATTCCCTGGCCCAGAATCATATGTCCCCACCCCTTCCTGCAGGGCAGCCCCATCCACCTGAAGCCAAGATGTCCAGCAAGCGGGCCAAGGCCAAGACCACCAAGAAGCGGCCACAGCGAGCCACATCCAATGTCTTCGCCATGTTTGACCAGTCCCAGATCCAGGAGTTTAAGGAGGCCTTCAACATGATTGACCAGAACCGTGACGGCTTCATTGACAAAGAGGACCTGCATGACATGCTGGCCTCGATGGGTGAGTAGGGACAGGGTAGGATGGGCGGGATCTAAGTGGGGCCCAGGCAGGGGCTGCTCATGACTTACGGAGCATTTTCTGTGGAGCGAGCCATGGGGTTCCCACCATAGAAAGTAGCTGCCAATACTTCATCCATTTAACAGATAGGGAAACTGAGGCACCAAGAAGTTCAGGTATTTGCCTGGGATCCAGCACAGCATTTGAACCTAGACAGGCTGACTCCAGAATGGGACTGTCTTGGGCCCATTTGTACATTGGGCTGTGCGGTAATATTTCATTTAAAGAAAGGAATCAGCAGCTAAATGAAAGTTGGAGCTACACAGACTTTCTATTATACAGATGGGGAAATAGAGACCTAAAGCGGAGGCCAGAGCACCTCTCCTTCAGAGGTCACCCATCCCAGGCTCTCAGAGCTTCACTGACTCCAGTGACTTCCCCAGATTCAGGATCATACAGCTGAAAGGGCTCAGAAACCAAGTCCAATTTGCCATTGCTCAGATGGGAAAACTGAGGCCCAGAGGCACAGCCTCCACACTCCAGCTTGTGGCCCTGACCCCATATCCCTCCCCATGTGCTGGCCACAGACAATCTCCCTCAACTCCAGTTCTCACCCCAGGTGAGAGCATCCAGACCAGACACTGGCTGGGGCAGGAAGAGTCTGGCATCAGAGGAGGCAGCCATGTGACAGTCAAGCCACGCACTCTGGGGCCAGACAGCCTTGACTCGGTCCCTGGCACTGCCCCGTGCCTGTTTCCCTCCCTGTGTAATGGTGACTGTGGCCCTTGTGTGCACCCACAGGTGTCTGGGGAGGATGTGACAGTCAAGCCACGCACTCTGGGGCCAGACAGCCTTGACTCGGTCCCTGGCACTGCCCCATGCCTGTTTCCCTCCCTGTGTAATGGTGACTGTGGCCCTTGTGTGCACCCACAGGTGTCTGGGGAGGACCAGGCAACCCTGAGTGGGAGGGTTGACATAGGACACTGTCCCCACCCTAGACACCAGACCCCTCCCAGCTTTGGGCTGGCTCACTTGAGAGTTCCCTTTCCCAGGAGGGTCACCCAGCAGGAAGTGAACTCCAGCGATGTCATCTGGGACCCTCCCGGCTTCGTGGAAGGGCAAGACTGAGGCCCACTGAAGAGAGGGGTGGCCCTAAATGCCCCACTGGGGTCATGATGTCACCATTCCTCTCAGGCCTCAGCTTCCCTGGCCATCCTGTAGGGACAGTCGGGTACATGAGGCTCCGAGATGTGAAGACTCCTTTCCATTTACAAGGCAGCACCCTGCACCCAGGACCCTAAACCCCTGATACTCGATGACAGCCCTGGACATCTACTGAGAAAAATACACACTCATGTTTGTAGCTCATGTCAGCACATATGCAGATCAGTCATAGCCTTCTGGTTAAGAACATCATCATCAGGTTAAAGAAAAAGACAAGAGCAGCAAATAAAATAAAAATAGTAATAATAAGCTCTTTAGGTTTTATCTTAAATCTCAAAGCAATCCTCTTGGATAGACATGATTATCATTTCCACTCTACAAATGAGGAGACTGAAGCTCAGAGAGGTGAAGTAATTTGCCCAAGGTCACGCAGCTTCTAGTGGTAGAGCTGGGCTATGAGCCAGAAGTTGATTCCAGAGTCTACAGGCCTATGCCAATCATTGTTATGAGTGTTTTGCAACCATTGTCTTATTCATTGTCACAGTTCTCCTAAGAGATAAGGGAAACTGAGGCACAGAGCTGGGATTCAAATCTAGGCCTGTGTGACACCAAAGCTCACTGATTTAACCATTTTTGAAACTGTGCCTGGAATTTGGGGTGAGGCTGCCAGGGTTCAAATGCTGGCTCCACTCCTTATTCGCTGCGTGACCTTGGACAAGGCACCTCCCCTCTCTACTTTGGGTCCCACACCTGTGAAGTAGGGGTAAGAATGCTGACCTCACAGGGTGCCAAAGTTAAATACAATAAGGCACGTGGCGCACCATACACAGAGAGCAGTCAGCAGACGGTCACTCAACACACTTGAGAGAGCGTTACCTGTTGCTGATATCCAGACCCGAGGAGGGCACTGGCCAAGGCAGCAGGGACTCCTGGCATCCACTGCTGTGTGCCCAGGAGCAGTCAGAAAACGGTCCCAGCACCAAGCTTTACAGTTTACAAAAAGTACCATTTCCTGTCTGTGGGACCCTCACACAGGGCCGGGAAAGAAAGGGACGGGAGATGGGATTTGCCCAGGCTGGGGCCAGAGGGCCTGAGGACAGCAGACAGAGTGCCCCTCCCACCACAGGGAAGAACCCCACGGACGAATACCTGGAGGGCATGATGAGCGAGGCCCCGGGGCCCATCAACTTCACCATGTTCCTCACCATGTTTGGGGAGAAGCTCAACGGCACGGACCCCGAGGACGTGATCCGCAATGCCTTCGCCTGCTTCGACGAGGAGGCCTCGGGTGAGGCCTGTGATGGGCTGAGCACCCCACGGGGTGCCGTGCGTGCAAGTGGGGCAGGCTGGGGCTGGCAGTGGTGGGGCCCAGCCGCCCTGCGCCTTCAGGGCCCCATTCCCAAAGGCCAGATCAGATGGCGCTCACCTGGTTTCTGTTGCCAGAACTATCGAAGCCAAGCCACTTCCTTGTTTTGTCCCCAAATGCCAGCCCCACCTCCACCAAGGCTTCCTACTTTTCAGTCTCACCTGTTAGCCCAACACGCACGCACTCTCTCTGCTTTAGACCTTCCCAAAAATCAAACCACTTCATGCCCTTCTTGCTGACAAGGTACAGAACCCAGCCCCCACCCCCAGATCTTCCAAGGGACTTTCTGTCCCACAGCTAGTTTTTCCCAGGGACACACAGAGCAATGATGGCAATAGTAACATTTCTCAGGGACACAGGCACACCACAGGACTCAGCCTGTCCTGAACATTTTCCTGACTATCTTCGAAGTCCCCCACCAGGCTGGCATATGTTCATCCCCATTTTCCAGATCAAGTAGGCACAGAGAGGCTAAGTACCTTGCCCAAGGTTACACGGCAAGGGCAGTGGAACTCCGGAGCCCATTCTCCGCTGGCTGCACTCACAACCACGACGCCCCTACAGACACACCCTGCAGACAGTCCCACTGCAGAACTCCTCCCTCTGGGCCCTGGCAAGCCCTCCCCGCCCATGTCCTCATCCCTTGAACTGGCCAGAGTCTAGGATTGTGTCTTCCCAGCCCCTCCCCTGCCATGAGCACTGCAAGGGCTGGTGGTGGACCTAGGGGTGGGAGGTGCTGGATGGGTCCCAGCCCAGGTCCTTGCTCTCATGGACCCCACTCTTCTCCCAGGTTTTATCCACGAGGACCACCTACGGGAGCTGCTCACCACCATGGGTGACCGATTCACTGATGAGGAAGTGGACGAGATGTACCGCGAGGCACCCATTGATAAGAAAGGCAACTTCAACTACGTGGAGTTCACCCGCATCCTCAAACACGGCGCCAAGGACAAAGACGACTAGGCCACCCTAGCCCTCCTAACACCAAGTCCCTTCCCCAGTCACCCCACACACACTCCCCTGTACCAGCTCCATGCCCGCGACCCTGTGGGACCCTCTCAGGGGGTCCTCCCTTTGAGGGGTGAGGGTCCCAGGTCCCAATGGAGGAAATGGGCCAAGTGGTGCCAGGCAAGGGGCACAGAGCCAGCTTGAGGCAGATGTCCCCACCATGACCTCAGAGGCCTGGAAGGGAGGCTGTGGCCCCTCCAGGGAAGGACCATCTTCTGGGCAGATGGGCCAGAGGGTAGGACCTGGAGGCATTGAGGGAGGCCCCAAAGGAGAGTCCGGGCCTCTGCTGTGGCCTGCTCGCTCCTGGGCTGCCCCCAGGAGGAAGGGATCCTGTGTCCTGGTATCAGACACCACGTCATGTGCATCCCCACACTCACACACGAGCTCACTAAGGTCCCCTCTCAGAGGGCAGACCGCCAGACCCCTCCCTTACGCCCTGTCCTGCCACCAGAGCACCCGCCCCCACCACGGGAGTGTGCACAAGACGACGCATGTAGAGGGGATATGTGTCCCAGGAGGCAGAATCTCCAATAGAAGGATGAGCACGGCTTCGGGTCTGTGTGTCTGTGCTTGTGGTGAAACTGGGGACCCCCTAGGCCCCAAACACCTTCCCTCCTTCTCCCACTCCCTATGGCTGCCTTGATCCTGGCCAGAGGATGGGCAACACCGGCCAGGGGGGGAAGTAGACAGAGGGGAGCGGGCCTCCTGGACGGGAAAAGGCAGAGTGGGGAGCACCCATCCAGGAATCGCCACAGCCAATCCCAGTGGAGGGGTCTGGGCCTCTGATGGGGTAGAGATCAAGGTCATACAGCCATCAGGAGCAGAGCCTAGATCTCCGGTCACAATGCTCTGGGAAAGCCAGGTGGTCCTGGAAGAACAGGGAGGCATTGGGAACAGTGATGAGGTGGCTGTCCCAGTGGCTCACGGGTGGAGGTGAGAACCAACGGGCTTAACAGCTCCATCTGCCCCCCTCCCCCATTCAGCACCTGGCTGCACCCTCAGCAGCAGGAGCAGCTGCTCCACAGGCCACAGCCTTTTATGTCCCATATGTATGCAGGTGGGCAGGGCCAGGACCCCAGCTACATTTTAATGACAGGGACACTGCCAACAATGCCTGGGACATAGGAGGGACAGAAATGTTGGCTGAACAACCAGAGAGCCAAGAGTGGCAGGGACTGCCTGAGGTCACGCAGTGGGGCTGGGGCAGAGGGAGGACCAAACTACAGCCTTTGGACCCTGGACCTGCCATGGGGCTCAGGTTGGGACTGTACATATGCCCCCAAGCCCAGCAAAGATCAAGGAGCTGTTGCTGGACCCAGCTTGGTCCTGCTGCCTTCTGAGAAGGCACCCAGCACCCATCCTCCCACCAGCCACAGCACACAGTAAAGGTCCGAGGTCAGAGCCAAGGAGCGCTGGGTGTCAAGGGTCCCTGCACCAGACCAGGAGGCCCTAACAGGTCTCAGCCCCACCTGGGCACCAGGCCCCTCCCAACCAGGCCCTGGTCAGAGCCCAGGTGAAACTCCTCATCTTGGCTCCAAATTGAGCCCTACAAGTCCCTGACCTCAAATCCAGATAAGCCAGCCCCAAACAAGTTCCAAACCAGGCCCAAATACTGTCCCAGACTCAGTCCCAACCACACCATCCACCCTGGCCCCAGACTGTGGGCCTCCAGCTCCACACAGGGCCCTGAGTGACCCTCAGCCTGGCCACCTCCTCACTGCTGCCAGCCTCGAGGGAGGGGCTGTACTGGGACTGGGGGCTCTGGGTGTCTCTCACAGCACTGACCACACATGTCCAATGCCAGGCTCACAAGACAAGACCTCGCGGCAGAGCCACTGCAGCACCAGAGGCCTTCCTGGAAGGACGTGTCATCAGAAACAAACTGCCCTTAGATTCCAGGCCCCAGTTTGTGATCCTTTCACAAGCCTACCAGCCTCCACCCTGGACAGAAGCCAGGACCAGTCCAGCCTCACTGGTTTCAGAGCTGGCCTGGGGCTGCCAGGCCCCCCAGAAAGGGAAAAGGAAAGTATTCTGGGCAGGGTAGATCAGGAGCAGCAGGCCAGGGAGCATCTGCAGGAGCAGGTGAGGAGGGGAAGAGGGAACAGGAGGTGGGAACAGCCTGAGCAAAGGGCTCAGAGCAGGAATGCCCCAGGGCAAGTTCAGGGGCTGGGGGAGCGGGTGGTTTTTCATTTCATGAACTAATTTATTAAGACCTTAGCAGCTTCTGGGCCGGCCCGTGGCTCACTTGGGAGAGTATGGTGCTGATAACATCGAGGCCATGGATTTGGGTCCTTACATAGGGGGAAAAAAAAAAAAATCTTTTCAGGCAAAAGAAAAAAAGGAAAAGCAGCAGCTTATGTGTTCTACTTATCTCAGGCAACATTCAGAAGTGACTGTGAAGCACCCCCAGAACTTTCCAAGCCTGGCATGAAACCCAGAAGCCATGAAGGAAAAGACTGATGGATTTAAATGCATGAAGAGAGAGGAGGGACAGAAGTATCATTCTCCTCTAAATGTCCAGCCTGAGCTAAAGGAGAAGGGGGGAAGCCTCAATTTTTTGTCATATTTGGAGTTTTAATGATTATATAAATATTTTAATCACTGGAGAAAAATATAAATAAATAAATGCATGAAAACTAAACACTTTCTTCAGGACTAAAGAAACCATAAGCAGGGGCTGGCCAGTTGGCTCAGCTGTTGGAGCAAGAGGATGTTATAACAGTGAGGTTGAGGGTTTGGATCCCTGTACCTGCCAGCCGCCAAAAAATAAACAAATAGAAAGAAAAAATAAAGAAACAAACCACAAGCAAAGTTAAACGCCAAATGCAGACTGGGAGAAAATATCTGCAGCACATTTAACCAAAAAAGGTTAATGACACTATAAAGAGCTTCAACAATTCAGTAAAAGACAACTCAGTAGAAAAACATGGGCAAATGATATGAAGGGAAATCTCAGACGAAATACAAACAATAAGCACATTTCAGGTGCTCGGCAATCATTTTTAAGTTCAACATTATTAAAAAATTGTAAAATGTTCTCTTTTTTCCTAGTATTTTCAAGTTTTAATTATTATACTTGGATCTTTGATGAAAGTGCCTGGGTTTTTAATAATTATGTTCCCAGGAGCAATAGTTCTGTCTGGAAAAAGTCGTGTGACCTCAGGTAACTCACACATTGTTACATTTATTTTCTGATAAATTTTTAAAAATTTTTTATTATGGTAAAACACACATAACAAAATTCACCATCTTAACCATTTTTAAATGTACAGTTCGGCAGTGTCAAGTGCGTTCACAATTGTTGTGTGACCATCACCACCCATCTCCAGAACTTTTTCATCCTCCCAAACTGTAACTCTGCACCCACTAACACTCTCCATTCCCCCTCCCAGCGCTGGCAACCACCACCTTCTACCGTCTCTATGAACTTGACAACTCTAGGAACCTCACATAAATGAGTCCTACAGTATTTGTCCTTCTGTGGCTGGCTCATTTCACTTAGTATAATGTCCTCAAGGTTCATCCATATTGTAATGTGTCAATTTCCTTCTTTTTAAAGTCTGAATGATATTCTATTGTATGGACCACATTTTGCTTGTCCATTCATCCACTGATGGGCACTTGGGTGGCTTCCACCTTTTGGGCTATTGTGAATGGTGCTGCTGTGAACTTGGGTGTTGACCAGCCTTTCAAAGTCTGAATGATATTCTATTGTATGGACCACATTTTGCTTGTCCATTCATCCACTGATGGACACTTGGGTGGCTTCCACCTTTTGGGCTATTGTGAATGGTGCTGCTGTGAACTTGGGTGTTGACCAGCTTTTTCTTACATAACTGAAGCACTTACTACGTGCCAGGTACATAATAAACACTGGAGCTCTGGAGGTGGACAAAACAAGGTCCCAATCCTAAAGGAGCTCACAGCGTCATGGGGGAGACAGTGCAAAAAACAGCAGACAGAACCCAGGGTACTGAGTAGGAGCTTAGTGTGACGGGCAGCATGGGGACTCAGGGATGCCCTGCGTGGGGGACCTGGGTGGGGGACGTGAATCCAGAAGGTGTGAAGTGAGGCAAAAATCACATCAGGCTCCCTCATGCAGACGAAACCATTGATGCAAAAGCCTAAGGTCGCAGCTGAAGAGCTCACAGCTCCTGAGGAGGAGGAGGAGGAGGAGGAGGAGGAGGAGACAGGCTCTCACCCCTGACCAATCCAGAGACTCCACAGAAGCCAGGGGGAGGTTAAGAGACTGTAACAAGATCTAAAAACAGAGAATCCCCTCGGGCCATTGAAGGTGGCTGGGCCCCAGTGGGTGGGAGTGGCGACCAGTAAAGAGAAGGCTGGGCTGAACCATCTCGGCTGTCTTTTCAACAGCCCCCAGCCCCACCCCTCCAGTCTGGAGCTTCAGAGTAATCTCAGGACAGCATTCCACTCCCAACCCTGAAGGAGACAGCATCTGACGAAGAACTGTGCCCGGGTGGAGATAAGACTAACAACAAAGGCAAAGAAGTAATAACTACAGAGACCAAGAACTTATTCTTATTATTTTCTTATTATTCACAGCTATGCTTAGATTTTGCAAACCTAGCCCAAATGAACAAATGCCTAGAAAAATAGAGCCCTAGAAGTAGCTCCAAAAATATACAAGGTATAATAAAATATTGAAAACTATGAAAAAAGAAAAAGTTTGAGTTCTTTTAGTAATTACTGAAGAAATTAAAGCATCAGATAAAAATCTTCCCACAAAGAAGGCATGGTGGGGTGGGGGGGGGCTCAGATAATCTCACAGGTGTGTTCCACCAAACCTTCAAGGAACACATCATCCTGATTTCACACAGACTATTCTAGCAGAATTATGATACCAAAAGAGGACAAAGACATTATCAGAAAGGAAAACAGGCCCATTTCATTCATGAATATAGATGCAAAATCCCTATACAAAATATGAGCAAACCAAATCTAACAGTATATATTTAAAAGGGTTAACAAATAATGACCTGGTTGGATTTATCCCATGGGATTCAAGGATAGTTTTTTTTTTTTTTTTACTGACCGGCAACGGGATCGCAACCCTCGGCAACGGGATCGCAACCCTCGGTGTTGCGCCCGCACCACGCTCAGCCAGTGAGCGGGAACCGGTCTCCACATGGGATCTGAACCCTCGGCGGGAGCGTGGCAAGCGGTGCACTCTCTAGTGCGCCACCGGGCCGGCCCCAAGGATAGTTTAATATTAGAAAAGTCATTGATATAATTCACTACATTAACAGATTAGAGGAATATAAAAATATGTGATTATATAAATAGATGCAGAAAAACCTTTTTAAAAAACCAACTCCTATTCATAATAAAAAAAAAATTTTTTTTTCTTTTGACCGGTAAGGGGATCACAACACTCTGTACGGTGTGGTCAGTACCGTGCTCAGCCAGTGAACGAACCGGCCATCCCTATATAGGATCCGAACCCATAGCCTTGGCACTCCCAGCGCCACACTCTCTCGAGTGAGCCGTGGGGCCGGCCCATGATAAAAATTCTTAAGAAATCAGAATAGAGGGCAATATCC